CTCCACATCCTCAACGAGGTCACTCGTCATTGATAGCGTGCGCAAAGCGCGACGCTCGGGCTCATCGAGCCTTGGATGTACATCCCCCGGTGCCCCGTAAGCACACTCCGACATTGCACCGCGTGCGGGAGACGAAGTTGGGCTCCACCCGTGCTCGCTGTCAGAACCAGCGAGACTTGGTGACTTTCGTGTCGTGGACACAGGGCTCATTGAGCAAGGAAGTCGTTTCATTCCAACAAATTGCAGTGTCTAGCAGACACGCGAGCCTCGTTGAGGCAATAATCGATTGGAGCTGTAAATATTTTCAAGCTTAATGGGGGAGGGTGTAACGGCGTTACACGTACCTTGGTAACAGGGGTATGTGTCACACGAGATGTGCATGGTGTGAGTGCACCCAAACAAGAATACGGTATGTGGCTAGGTAGCCAGTAGTTATTCGTGTCCTTAGACTATACTATATATATGTATAGTATATTTAGGAAAATCTAATCTTTTAAAATCAGGATAAAAAAGAAATAGAAATGAGTTTTGATTTTTACCGGAAGAGCTAATTAGCCTTGGGTAAGACAATAATTACTCTTGGAGTAAGTAGATTGCGATCCGCTAACTCGTAATTGTTCTAAGTATAGAACGAAAGGTCGGTGACCTAAATTACGTTTCCTCAAGCGCCAAGCTACAACAGCCCCGCTGCAGTCAGGGTATAATCTCCGTGCTCCAGCATCATTGCGGAGTGCCGCGACTGCAACGGGATTGCCTTGCAAAGGAAGGTTGACCCTAAGAATTTGCGTTACCAAAGTACGGAGGATGGCTCGTATCATTATTAGCTTTTATAGTAACTGTGATATTTATCGAATAAATTATAGCTTGAATTGACACTAAAAATATTTGTTTGACAATCTACAGTGTACAACCACACTGCATGCGGTTAGCAAGTTGCCCACACGCACCGCAAGCTTCGCAAATACCGATATTCAGGTCTTATGTAAGGTCACCAACACCTATTTATATTAAGTGTGTAAGGATGTTGTTCAGTAGAGTACTACAGTGCGTACCCGTTAAAGTGACTTGATAAATCCTGTTCCGGAAAGGAAGACGTATACATTAAGGTATTAATGAATCCCTTTTATATTTTTCTAAACTCTGAGGTGCTACGATTATCATATGGTTTGCACAAATTTGTTACCGCCATCAGAATAATTAGCAATTATGGGTTTCTCGCACTCGCTCGAGGTTCTATACGCACTTCTGCAGTTATACACAAGCAGAGCTGCATCTTCCTCTAGCTTCTCCGATGTCCCCTATCCGCATCTCCAGCAACGATTGCAGCAAACTTTACGTGCGGTGGCGCTCACGGCCTTTGGCGCCGTATCCTTTCCTCTGTTCTTGCTCTGTCTTGTTCCGCTGCTCTCTCCGCTGCGATTCTCAAGTTTCACTGCGTTTTTATTGGTAACAGTCTCGTTGTGGATCGCTACAGTCTCCCATATAGCACTTCGGTATGTACTGCTACCTATGCCCCGGAGAGCGTCGGGGGAGCCGGTCCGCGGAGGGTTCCAGGCTGCCGTCTGTGCTGTCGTGGATGTTGTTAATCGTGTGCGCCAGCAGCCACAGCTGCCCGTGCTGCTGCTTCTTTGCATGATTCACTCGTACGCATGGAAGCTCGTACTTTACTACGGTATGGAGCACGGCCCCGGAATCTCAGTAGACTTTCAATCGTTTGCAGTTGCCGGTGGCCTCGTAGCATTCACTTCCTTTGTCCTAATCGAAAACAGTTTGGCAGAAGATCCGTTTGTGTTGGAACCACGTACAGCATTTGTTAAAGAGATGCAGCGAAATGTGGTGCGTGCAGTACGTCGTGGAATGCTTGTGTATATTGTGGGATACGCTTTGAGCTATCTGTTCGGTGGTAGCAGTGATGGTGAGATTAATGCGGCAGAAATGAGCTTTTTCTCACTCTACACATCAATAGTATCTTTTCAAGTGACAACGAGTATCCTCGAAAATCTGGCAATACTCAGTGCTACTTCAGTATTCAGAATTCTCCTATATCGTGGGAGTCACCAGGTGGTAGGTGCTGCGTTCAGTAAGTCTGCCAACTTGTGGGATTCACTTGTAGCTGTGGAGCTGAATAATTGTGATGTTGCAAGTGCGTTGTTTGCGACGGAAAATGTGGTCGACCGACAGAATGCCACGCCGCTGGATGAACAGTATTCTCAAAGTTTGCTCCAGCGAAAAGAGGCGGCTATGAAAAAAATTTCGGACAAGAAAACCATAAAAGCTCCTGCAGATGTGGAAGATATCGAAATTTTTGACAGTTTATTCAAATTCGACAACTTACTTACTGGATGTAAATTCGACGCTGCCGTGCGAGAGTCGCTTTTCTCGTCCTGGAATCGTTGGAATGCGCTGTTTACTTCCTCAACTGCGGTTGTAGATGGGTTTACCTTGATGTTACAGCTGCTGAATGCGCTACCGGAAACAAAAGGCGATCCGAAGAATGACTCGCCGACCGGCGCATTGGCTCTTGAAAAATCCGTTGCAACATTACTGCGCTTTTTGAACTTACATCAAGATGCGCATCCACTCTTTTTGCTTCAGCATTACCCCCATCTAGCAAATCTTCGTATCTCGTCTTCCAGTGTAAAGTCATCCATCCGATATTTTTTCGAGTCAAAGCTGCAGTTCGCTAATCGCCGCTTCATATTGGAAGAAGCACGACGACGTGTGTTCCAGCGTGTAAAAGTTGTTTACACGGCAGAGACGCTGCTTTGTCATCTAGTTTGTGCCTCGCGTGCCGAAGACAAGCAGGGATATGTTCAGGTACGACTTTAGTTCTGGTTAAAGTTGGTGCGTCCGTGAGTAGCTAATCCTTTGAGCAATTAACCTTGTCGATCGTAGCACGCTATTCCCGCTGTGCTTTCATCGCTCGTAGATTGCCGCAACTCTTTGACTGCGTATTTAGAAACGTGTCTGAAGGGCAGCGTTGCAACTGACGTCTATGTGCAACAAGCTACCGCACTTGCAAAAGGTAAACGGCGTTGATATCGTGACGATACTTGCTCGGTCTGCTTATGGACTCATTTGTGCACAGGTATTGACAGCGGAATATATCGCATCACGGAGGTATTTCAAGGCGAACTGTCTTTGCTTCAGTTCTCTTCTGATGTAAGAACGGCTCTGCTCGCATATACAAGCTTTGAAATTTAAGTTTTTTAGATCGCCGTCGACACATCTGAAACCTACCGGCCTCTACTAACACGCGTTGCATTTTTAAAATTCTATCAGCATTGAGATTGTCTATGTGGTGGGCAGATTATTTTATATCGCAATTTTCTTTAGCCAATGCAGAGACGAAATCAACCATTCCGATGCACTGCGCCACCAACAGCCACATCAGTCTAGATAGTCAAACATACACGAAATATATCGTACCTGTTCGACTTCGGGAGCGTTTGGAGGTATTCGATGCATGGCTTGGATTGCTGCAACTTGACACAATGCAATCAGTGACGCTGCGTTTTCTCCATCTGTCTCTTCGACAAGTTTATCAAGATCAACGTCTTGGCTCCATGGCATTTTTTTGCGTTGAATTTCAAAAATGGCCTTCCGTTCGTTTGCATTAGGTAGTCCAACATACACAACGTTTTCGAAGCGACCTTAAACAAAATGGAAACGAAACGATAAAACGCAGTGTATCTTAGCCAGATCATCCACACAGCACTTACCAGGCTGAAGAAATGCAGGATCAATAGCGGTCAAAACATTAGTTGCAGCTAGGACAAAAATGCGACCAGCAACAGTCCTCAAGCTAAGATCAGAGGCATGCATGTTGCTATCATCGGATACTGCCTTCGACGCATCAAGCTCCATCAGCAGCTGAGAAATCATCCGAGATGTGGTCTGACCCGCTGTTGACCGGTTGCCAAACAGCGACTGAAACTCGTCGATGAAAATCATGCACGGACTAAGTGCTCGGGCGGTGTCGAACGCACGAGCGATCGCCTTTTCACTCTCACCAAATTCGGCTTTCATGAGATCGCTAGCTGACAAGTTAAGAAAGTTACATCCACTTGCCTTTGCGGTTGCTTTTGCAAGCATCGTCTTGCCTGTGCCTGGGGGGCCATGCAGTATCAACCCTAACGGAGGAGAAATTCCCATGCGACGAAAGACGTGCGGTTTTTCCAACGGCCACACTACCATTTCGATCAAGCTCTGCTTAACATCCTCCAAGCCTCCTATATCTTCCCAGGAGACAGATGGAACTGAGGATCTGACAGCTTCAACATGATTGCTGGTGCTGGAGATCTGGCGTGCTGAAGCCGCAATTTCCGATTCCATCGTCTCTATACCAATGTGTTGGCTATCTTTTCTTGATAAACGCGTGCAAATTTCTTGAGCGATTGACACAATGTTACTTGGTTTCTGACCGTAGCGAACCGCTAACGACATGAGAAACTCTTGGCGCAGTAGCTCTGATGGAGGTAGCAACGACTTGAGTAAATTTACCATCCAAATTTTGTCAGGAACCTATCAAAATGACGATCAAATTAGTTATTGACCGAAGTAGAACGCGCTGACGAACATAACCTACGTCGAGAAAAAATTCCTCAGTGAAAGCTTGCCGCACTTTTAAATGCAGCATGCTGAGTAGTGACACAGTTCCAATGACTACGACGCGAGCCATGTTAGCCTTTTCTGATGAGATCAAATTAGTGCTCTGAACAAGATAAGAAAATAACTGAAAGTCACTCACGAATACACTCGATGCACTTCACAAGTTGACATACAAGTTTGTGCTTGATTTCATCCATCGTCAGAGGAAACATCAACTCTATATCCTCAATCAGCAGTACACAAGGTTGGATGCGCAGTGCAGCAGAAAAAAAGTCTTCTATACACAATTGCGGAGATGCCAACAGCCCACCGTCCAGTAGTAGCAAACTTGCACCCATCTCCTCTGCAATTTGATGCACTAGTGTTGATTTTCCGGCGCCGCTTGGTGCGTGAAGCAGCAATGAATGAGGCGCGATCCGGACAGCAGCCTCAAATGACAACAACGATGTATGTTGAAACGACATGGCTACAAGATCTCGAAATTGACGAGCGTGAATCCCAACAGGCTGATATATTGGCTTTGCTGCTAGCAATTTTGTGGGTAGTGACATTGCTGAAGGATAAATCAATACCAAAGTCTGGTCTGTCACGACCCCACCATCAAATACCTCTGCTTTATCGCCACTGTGTCCGCGAAAATATCCTTCGTAGATCCAATTTCCATACTGCATCCCATCACGCTGTAGGGTAACGTATCCAGCTCGACCCGTCAAGATTCGACCACGCAACAAGCTTTTTATAAATGTAAGTGTAAGCTTAATCTGCTGTCCATGCCATGGGGCTAATGCCAAGCATTGCACAACGTTCATGTTCGACGGTGCAACAACTTGTACCTCTATCGTATCGTTATGGCTGCAAATTCCGCTTAAATTTTCATCTTCATTGCACATCGGCCAGTGGTCAATTTGAACCTTTGTGCCTCTATCTTCCATATTTTCATCAATTTCCAAGCGAAATGCTCGCGATCGATGCCGTTCGCAGCATTTAAGCATCAGGTAACATCCCCATACAGCATGAAGTGCGTCAAACGTAGCGACAGAAACCCATGCAGTGCTGGTATTATTGCCCGACTTAATCACTTCCACCCGCATTGCGGGACATTCATATATAATTCACTCCGCACCACACAATTTATACACATTTCGCAAAATGACTTGGATCCTACCAAATGAGGATGCTGTGACACTGGGCGAGCTGAATGGCGAGCTCTACAACGTCTCAAAAAAAGGTGATTCGCGCGTGGGAGATGAATTTATAAGACGCGGTGGTCGTGTGTATTCACCGGCACGTGTAACCATCTTTAAACCGCGTCCAATCGGTCAGAGTGAGTCATTGAACGATGATCAAGTCGAAGAGCTGGATGCGGGCATTTTGAGACTATTAAAGCGCGCGTTGAACGCGATGAAGACTCTCCTTTTGGATGATGAGTTGCTAGTATTTAATCGCGTTATTAAAGTTGCTGGGGGTGCCATGCAAAATCTACTGGAGGCTACATCGAATGATAAGGACCTGGATATGCAGCAGTCAGCAAGGAGCTCGAATGACGAGACAATCATTGACTTAAACTGGCATCCGTCGCGAGACGTGCTTGCTGTGGCTCAATCGGGTGGTGTTGTGACTCTGTATCATGTGGAGAGCGCATCATGGGACGCTAGAGTACTTGAACATCCCAAGCAGGTGGACATCGGCAGCATCGAATGGGGAAAATTTACAGGCAATACGCTGGCTGTTGCATGTAAAACAGGGATTTTTCTTTGGAAAGTTCCAGTAAAGGAAAAAGAGCCTGAATTGCTAGAGATCTTGAAGCATCCAAGCAATACCGGGTTTAGTCATGTCTGTTGGAACGCAGATGGGAGCTTGTTGGCGGCGTATTACAGAGGATCTAAGGAAATCGTTTTATTTGACGTAATCTTTTCGCGAAGTACTGTGCTGCAATGCTCGTACAATTTGTCGACACTGCATTGGTCTCCAAATAGCGCATATCTATTCGCGACTACCGAGTAATTGTCGTTCGTATGAGTTCATGACGATTATTTTCTTACTTATCTTGTATGCTAGAGCTGATGTATCTTTGATGTGGGAGACCTTGACATGGAAGAGAGAGACGTGGGAGGTCGCTGCCGAGGCACGTCACTTAGCTTTACAAAAAATCGTGTGATTATTTCGCTAATTATATGAGTGACATCTATCAGGGTTGCGGATGGTCGAACGATGGACGCTGTTTGCTTGTCGGTCTTCGTAACAGCACCCTGCTGTATCCATATGTTTTTCAAAATTGTCCTCCTTCACTAGGTAAGTAATATGCTGCAATGAAGTTGTGCATCGACTCAGTTTATACTCCTCTTGTGCGATAACAGATGCCCAAATAAGCTCCCCCGCTCTTGATTTTGCTGAAATGCAGCATTTTTCACTTGACCGAAGCGCCTCTGCGTTCGTTTGATACTGTAAATCTTAATTTTTATGCGCCTTAATATTCATTCGGTTCGTATGGTTTTAATGTAGCATTGTCGGTGGCAAGATTAAGGATATCGTCTGGGATCCTAGTGGATCACGAGTTGCAGTCACTTATCGTACATCTGGCCAGGGACTTTGTCAGCCTGGCACATCAAAGCTAGTCGCTGTTTTCAGTGTGTCCTGGCAACCGTTTTTGATTTTTACTCGCAGGTACAGATTACCATGACACCCATGTTCATTTAACATTCTTATACTCGTGTTGTCACTAATTGCATCACTAGTGGACTTTTGCGTGGGCCTCCTAACGCCGGTGTACCTTTAAGGCTGGCATTTGCCTCAACTTTTAAACACGGAGCACTCTTAAGCGTTGCATGGAGCAGCGGCTTGATTTCATTCCATCCATTTTATTTCAAAGACCCCAAGAAAGCATAGATTTGTCGCGGTAGACATTCATATTTTTAAGCATGTGAAGGACTGGAGTTGTCGATTTTGGAATACATTAAAAAAAGCTGCGGTTATTGAGCCGTTGTGTAAGTCGCATTTACGTGCTAAATCCTACAGTTGGCCCGCTTAAATGAGCTTCCGCACAAACGCTAATTGTCTCACTGATAATGGTAATTGTGGTGACCCAAAGAGTGCTGATGTTTGCGTGGACTATCAAGTTGATCAGGCTGAACGCTGTCAATTACCAGAGCTGAGCACAATTGCTGCAAAAGAAGCGAAACTCGCGACATCTGTGCAACAAATGTCGCTGTCATCACCAGTGAAAAAGTATACCAAGCCTCAACCTGTGAATCACGGAAAAGGTAACAAATGTTTAAAACCATGGTTGGTTGACCACACCTCATACATGTTGACATGAGCGCAGCTTTTAATGATTTCTTGCACCTACATCGGGAACGCATCCCTAACGTTGTCGCATCTGAGCTGTCGTTTTTCAAGCGGGAGATTGCTTTACAAGAAATAAGCAAGAAACAATTGCAAAAGTATATGCTGGCAACAGATAAAGCAAAAGAGGTAGATCTGAAAGAGTGGGGGCGATATGAAATCGGCTTGCCTAAGCGTGTGCCGCCAACCCACGATGTAAACGAGATTGCCGAGCGTGCAGCTCAGCTGAAGCTTTACTGTCGCTGGAGAAAACGTGTCATCCAAAAACGAGTCGAGATCCGACGACAGCAGCTGGAAGCAGAGCACCTCGCATTGACAAAGAAGAACACTGGAATCCTTGTACCTTTATTATCGCGCAGATCAATTTGGGGGTCATCAAAAACAGTGGTCGAAGGCATATCATCTGTGGCAGCAAAGCAAGCACCAACTGACGCAAATAAACGCAGAAAGCCTTGAAAACACCTTGATGACTAAGCTAAAATAGCGTTCTTTACATGTAGTTATCTTGCTACTGCTGCCTCAGTGTCTAAGTGTTGACCAATGCCATCATAAAGCAATTTTCCAAAACAGCAGCTAGGTGCCACCATCAGCAACATGAAGAGCTCTCACGCTTAAGCGAAGTGCTGGTAAGATCAATTGTCTCTGGAATGTAGCTACAGCAGCAACAATGAGAAACGTTAGCTTCAGCTTCCATTGGAGTAATGCCAGCCGAAACGCACATGTCATCTTGGCCTTTTAGCAAGGCTGAGCTAGCGATCGTTCGAAAAGCTTCCTCCACGCTTGTCGCCTCTTTTGCGCTCGTCTCAAAGTGTTGAATTGGCTGCTCGTTTGATGAAGGTACTTGAATCACCAAATATCTCATTTAAAATTTTACACAATTACTTACTTGGTGGATATTCTTAGAGCGACACCATTCCTGGACTCTCTGCGTTTGAACCTTCATCACAAAGCATCAACAAAAGCTCTTCCATTTTCATTTCCTTAACAATTAATACTCTTACCCTTCTATCTGACTCCCTATCCACCTTGTTGCCCAGCACGATGAACGGAAAAGCATCTGGATCTCTTGGCCCTGCCTGAGCCAAAAACTCGTCACGCCACGAGTCTAACTTTTCAAACGACTGAAAAGAATGTAAAATTTAGTGGCTACCAAATAGAAAGCAACGCTTGTTCAAACTTGCACACCTTGGGGTTGGTAATATCGTAGACCAATACACAAGCGTCGGCGCCTCGATAAAATGCCACTCCCAGACTTTGAAAACGCTCTTGACCAGCAGTATCCCAAATTTGCATCGTCACAAGCTTGTCGTCCAACATGATCTCTTTGGTAAGAAAGTCGGCTCCAATTGTGGCCTTATACTGGTTGCTAAATTTCTGGTTCACGTATTGATTCATAAGCGATGTCTTCCCCACTCTGGCGCAAGGATACAACCATTTTCAACATGATTGAAATGCGCGTCATTGATTCTAAACAGCGCAAATATGACGCACCCACTGTCACCTAGAATGATCAGCTTGAGCAACACTTTCTTGCGATGCGACATCTTCTAGACTTCCTTTCGCTCACAGCACGATCAAGATGATCCAGAACGTTCGTCTATGTCAAACCTTCTTTTATCAGTTTTAACCAATAAAAGGGTTGAACTGGTCTGTATCCTAAGGTCCGTAGATTGGGTTACGCTATGCTACAGTAGACGTCGAGTGGGGACGCCGTAATGAAATTTACATATGCTACGACTCACTCGGTCGGTCATCTGGCTTGGAGTTGTGAGCGGAGATGAGTTGATAATGGCAACTTCATTGAGTATTCGATTGAGCTCTTTTATGACGGTAGAGTCACAATTCATATCGGTAGCTAATCGAATTGTCGTCTGTACAGCCTCGAGATCAGTAATAGGCTGTCGAACAGGAGCTATAGCAGTACCTTGTGACACAGTCCAAGCCAACCAAGACTCATCGAGTGAGTCTGGATTTCCTTGATCATAACCAGGATGATTGCTTGATAGATTGCTGGCGTCTGAGCTTGTAAATATGGTTGAACGACTTGACAGGTCGGTCGCTGACGTAATAGCATGACACGTCAAAGTATCAGTACCACTTTGCATACTTTCTAAGCTTTGCGATGCATGCAGTGCCGCGTCAGCAAAGTCAGCGTCTGTCAAATCTTCATCACAAGCTCTTTCAGCACTGGGTGCCACTACTTCGATCAATCGCATGGGGTTAATGAGCTTTAAACGCTTCAAAAGCGCTTGGATCTGTGCATCGAGTCGATCATCAGAACGATTATCAGGCACAATGTCTGCTTCAGTCTCAGGGGTCACCACTACGCCAACGTTCGCAAAGGCAGCCATTATACGCGACCGCGGGATCTGCCGCCAGGCTTGTGCGAGCCACTTAACTACTTTCTGTAGCGGAACGTCATAAATATTCACCTGTCCCTCCTCTCGCTGATCAAGCGCAAAGTCTAATAGCTGATAGCGATATCGACGTTTGACTGATGATACAATCCCCATTTCCAAAGGACGCACACACAACTCACCAGCGTGATTGCGTTCGATAAAATGCATCTTTACATTCGACAAAATTGTCTTCTGTACACTCATGGCTGAGACCGAGTCGATGATAAGCACAATATGACGATCGGTCACACGCATACGCCAATCCAGCGCCATAAGCCAATTACGTAGCAATGTCGGTGGCATCCACGCCTTGTGATTACATGTGAATTGATATGAAAGTTCTTCACTTTCCATACTGTCATCTTCTGGCAATGCATGTGGCCCAACGAACAAAGGTTTGAGTCTGTCACTACCGTCAGCATTGACCGCAAGTAACATCGTCAACTTTTTATCTGGGTGGTGACCAGTGGGTAACGCCTGCCTGTCGGGACTCATCGCGTAGAATAGTTTCGTTTCATGTAGCCAATAGACATTCTCAGGTGCGATACCCATTACGGCAGCCTTGAAATGATTTGGCGTTGAGATTACAAAGGTTTCGACTGCGAATTTTGGTCGACCGTACGAGTCTTCCAACATCCGCAATGTGCGATCTCTTGTATTGCCTTTGCTACCACCCAAACTAAAGCCATGTCGACTCATAAATGAATGCATCCAACCATTGGAAAACTGTGGTGGGGAGCTAGTGACGTTCTCAGACAATTGTGGGGCCAAAAGCTCGTAAAAGACTCGCGCTTTGTGACGTACCAGGTCTCCTGGAATTTTAAAGCGTCGAGTCTGACAATAAAGAAACCAATCTGCTAGTGCCAAGTCCACCTGTGGACACTTGACGGTGCGAAACTTTTTGTAGTCGCGGCCTTCGGCCGTCACGAGTTCAAATCTTGCGCGCTTTTTTAGCAAGTAGCTCATTGCGGCTTGAGATGGCACATAATCAAGTTGAAACTTTTCTTTCGCCCACTGGCCAAGTTGCGCTTGCGTCGTCTTGGGAAATTGCCGGGCATGCAAACAAATGAGACGCTTCTGGTCGTGGGTAAGGTTCGAGCTGCGTGCGTTAGGTCTCACCATACTGCAGGCTCTGTCAGAGCAAATATGATATTTACTATTAGAGGGTAAGTAAGAACAAGAGAATAAAACACTTCCTTTCAGTGAGCACGTTTTTTCTGAAGCCTGCCAAAGATGATTACAAACTCTACCTACTCAGAATCTAATCTATTACATTACCATTTACTATATAGCCCCTAGATCTTATTTTTTTTTATTAACACAAAAGTATGAGGATAGACTGCTGTTTGTATAATGTGCATGCAAAGGTCATGTTACGATCGCAAAAAGTCGTTAAGCCCGGACTTTGGTGATCAATTTGATTTGATCTGCTGAATTTATGCCTATTGAGTTCAGTGGATGCGTACTGTATTCGTTATTGCTACAACAAATTGAAAAAGAGCCGACAAAATATTTCCTTTTCTACAACCACAATTTGTCAAATGGTAGATGTTTTCAAATAGCTTAGATGTTAAAAGAAAAGGGTTGGCTTCATTTTACTAGAACCCTCAATCATCCAGAGCAAACTTTTCGATTTCAAAAGGAGCAAGGACCAAAGCATCCCTTTTTTAAAAATATGATCAACATCAACAGTGTTTTATGTATGTTTTTTATTTAGCAAAGACCTGGAGATGCATTCGTTAGCTCCAAATACAATCATTGCGTTGGCAATCACTTCTTCAGCCCAATTTCTTGCAATTCTGTGATTGAACGGCACTGGTAAGTGTAAGAATAACCATTATCCACGCGAAAAACCAGATAAGATGCTTCATCATGCTCATCGTTGTCAGAAAAACGTGCTTTTACCATGGTATCATCTTGTAACCATCGACCAACCCAAGAATCTTCGTCTGGATGAAAACTGATTTGCCGTCCATCCTCCAACACGCCATTTATGGTTACATGTCCTGTATTGTCCACCACCACTTCTGATGCGGCACTTCCACGGTTGTCTGGTGCATGTGTATCACTATAGCTTGTATCACACATGATTACAGATTTAAATGTTTTGAGATCACTCCTGCCGTCTACTGCGCAGTTATCATATTGCTGGTGGGGTTGCTTCACGACCGTAGGGCAATTACCATGAGGTGTGTGCCCAATGATCACATGTCGGATACCGCTTTCAGAAAGTAGCGAAGCAGTTTCATCAGAAACTGGGGTTGGCATTCCTGAGGGTAAAAGGTGTCGGCCCGTGACAACGCTACCACTATAATCAGGTAGTACGTATTTGAGCAATTCTTCTCCGCCGCGTGAAGAGTGGTCTTCATTCCAAGTTGGATATCTAATCCATTCCTGAATTTGAGCTCGGTACCATGCATTAAGCCTATCCACCCATTCCTGAACCGAGCCACGATGCGTCGAAGATTCACCGGGAACTCGATCAAGAGCAGACAAGCTGGCGTTCTGGTTGCCGTTAATGATACCACCGTGCAAAAACAGTGTTTGGTGCGTCACATATGCCAAACTGCTATGCAGTAAGTACTCGCGCAGCACACCTCCCATCTCCACACTGTTTAGATACGACGTAACGACGCTCTCGTCCGGTACGCTTTCCGTGAGATCAACAGCTTGACGCGATTTGAGCTCAGCACGGCGTCGCTCAAAGTCCCCCTGAGCCCCCATAGTGTGCTCCAGCATCCATTTTAGCCGGTTCGCCTTTGTATTAGCTGCTGCAATTGTATCGTCATTTACATCAAGATCCTTACCATTTAACTGATCGATTAAGAACTCTTTCAGTGTAACACGTTTGTCAATGGGTACCCATTCCGGACCCTCCAAAATCTCTATACATAATTACACGTTCGTTTGAAAAGCTGCTATGTTGCAATTACACTTGAGTCCCAACCTTTAGACAAAAATGACGAGTTAATTTCAGTGTCACTAAGCTCCGATGTAAATCGCATCTTGTTCACATCGCGGTTACCCACGAGTAATATCACTCGGTCTGGATGCCGTTTTTTTAGATGCACGAGCTGCTCGTAGCACCTATTTTTCATCAAAAGTGAGTATTGCACGGAATTGATCAAGGATTCATGAGATTCCTCTCACTTAAGTGTGTGGTCTCCTTTGTCACCAGCGTCGCCCCCAAATACTAGCATGCAATCGTCGCGTAGCTCCAGCGTCTCCTCTTGACCACTTTTTATCAGTTGCAGACAGGTCGATTGTCTCACCACATTACGCACATATTGCCAATTCCCTTCCACATCTGTGAGCAGCACCACGCGCCGCGCAGAGAGCGGCATCCGCAGACACATAGACATAATTAAGATGAACAGGTATTGCCTCATAATAATCGAATCCATGTTGAAATTTAAAGATCTTTCCTTTACTGTATATCCAGATCAGGAAGGTAATTATGAAATATCAAAAGTTAACAGACAACATTGCAGCTCTTGTAACGGGGTTACACGAACCCTAAAACAGGTGTGTGTGTCACACGAGATGTGCATGGTGAGACCACACCCAAACAAGAAAACGGTATGTGGCAGTAGTTATGCATGTATTTAGATTTTACTATGTACATTTAGTATATATAGGAAGATCCAAACTTTTAAAATTAGGATAAAAAAGAAAAATAAAAATCAGTTTGGAATTTAAGTCGCCTTGGGTAAGGCAATAATTACCAAGAATGAGTTAGCGGATTGCGATCCGCTAACTCATTCTTGGTTTTTGGAAGAACGAAAGGTCGGTGACCTAAAGTACGCTTCCTCAAGCGTTTTGCTACGGCAGCCCCAATGCACTTA